CACACACACACACACACACACACACACACACACACACACACACACACCAGTGGCAGGATTTCTTGTTCAGGTAGTCCTCCACTTAAAGCACTTCATTCAGTGACCTCTGGAAGTGACGATGCTACTGAAAAAAGTGACTTAGGACGATCGATCAAACTCACGACCGTTGCAGCATCCTCCATTGTCACATGATAAAAAATTCAGACATTTGGCCACTGATTCATATTTACGACAGTTCAGGGCGCCGGGGCACATGACCCCCTGACCAGCCAAGTCAACGGGGAAGCCAGATTCACTTAACAACTGCAGTGATTCTGCTGTGACAGAAGGTTGTAAATTGGGGCAAAACGTACTTAACAACCCTCCCGCTTAGCCCAGAAATTTGGGGCTCTGGTCGTAAACCGAGGACTAACCAGTATCATCGCAGATAAATGGATGTGCACTTTTTTCTTGGAAACCTCCAGGGTTGGAGCACCCACAACTTCTAGTGGCCAGCTGTTCCACTGGTTAGTTCTCACTTTCAGGAAGTTTCTCCTTAGTTGCTTCTCTCCTTGATTGGTTTCCACCCACTGTTTCTTGTCCTGCCTTTGGGTGCTTTGGGGAATAGGTTGACCCCCTCCCCTCTTCTTTGGGGTAGTCCCCCCCAAAATATTAGAACCCTGCTATGTCACCCCTTAATCCTTCTCTTCGTTAGGCTACCTCGGGGATTCCCCAGGTGACTCTCCCTGTGAGAAATTGGACTCCCCCAATAATTCATCTTTTAAAACATTAACACATTTGAAACCCCACAAACATCAATAGATCCACCTAAAACCCAAATGAGTGTTTTGTTATGGCTTTTTTTTTTTCATTTTTTAAAAAAACTTTCCTTCCAACCACTTCTTGTTGTGGGTTCGGTTCCCACATCAGTGTTCGTTAACCTAAGCAGGCCAGTCACGTTCTCACGGCGTGACCGGGGTTTTTTTTTTCGGTTTGTTTTATTTCCTGTTTGCTTATTGCTTGGTTTTCTTCCTTTGAAACATTTGCTGAAGTGTCGGTATGATTGTTTGGATTATCCGTTGAGGTCTCATTTTGTAGACAATATGTGTGTGGTTTAAAAGTTGTTTTTGGGGTTGTTGTTTTTTTTAAAGTCAGATCTTGCATTTGGCATTTTCAGCCGAGAGTCTGTCCTTTCTCCTATCCTTTACTTTTTCTAGAAAATCAGAATAAAGCGAAATCGCGATGGCCATCATCACACTGTTGTATCTTGTATCTATTCCAGAGCTGCTTACCTTTTTAGAAGTGAGGTGTGTTGCTAAACACAAGAAAGTCCTTTTCTGGGATAAAGTCTTCAGGTTCAGAACCTTCCAAAGAACAGCTAGGCCTCGACTTACGACCATAGTTGAGCCCAAAACTTCTGTTGTTAAGCGAGAGGTTTGTTAAGTGAGTTTTCCCCCATTTTACGATCTTCGTTGCCGCAGTTGTTAAGGGAAATCACGGCAGTTGCTAAGTTAATACGCTGGTTGTTAAGCGAGCCTGGCTTCCCCGTTGACTTTGCTTGTCAGAAGGTCGCAAAAGGGGTTCACGCGACCACCGTGATACCGTGGCCGCCGCAAGTCTGAGTCAGTTGCCAAGCGTCTGAATTCTGATCACATGATCGTGGGGATGCTGCAAAAGGCCATCATTGTGAGGAAACAGCCATAAGTCCCTTTTTCCAGTGCTGTTGCAACTTTGAACGGTCACTAAACAAACCATTGTTTAAGTCCAGGGCTACCTGTGCCTCAGATCTTTAGGTGCCTTCCCATTTGATAGGCATCTATTGAAAATGTGTTTCTTTCCCCAAGACGTTATTTTGGTTTCTGCGCTGATTGTTTGCTTCTGTTTTCTCTCTGCAGTTGGACCTGATTGCTTTATCATTTGTTGTAAGGGCTTTTGAGAGGCTTTTGAGAAATAAATACTTTGAGTATAGAAAAAACAAACTTCCCCTGCTAGCCACTTGTTTTGATTCCGAAGGCCATATATATCTGTCTCTATTTTTTGTCAGTCAGTTGGTCTGTCTATCATCTATCCATCTGCTCTCTCTCATCTCTCTCTCTCTGTCTCTCTCTCTGTCTCTCTCTCTATCTATCTCTATCTATCTATCTATCTATCTATCTATCTATCTATCTATCTATCT